CATCTCATTTATGATCTACATGAACACCGCGAACTATCGGAGAAAGTCTAGTTAAAAAAAGTCTCGTTGGTATCGCATCAGACAATGAATATTGCGCAGTCAACGAGATAAAAAGTTGGCAATCGAGAGACGATAACTTGAATATAATATTTGAGATATTCTTGGTTTCAAAACAAGCGTATAGACGGTCATGTTTTATTGCTCTCGCAATAGTAACAAAAAACGAGTTGATATGATAATGAAAATCAGCTCGACGTAACGTAAGAAATTCTCGTAACATAAGAAAACTAGAATTTAACGTAATTGAGTGAAAATAATTGAATATGAAATATAATGTAGATAAATATCATTAATGGAAGGAAGTCTCATATACACAGTTGCCAACAGTTCTTGTTATCAAATGTAATATTTCCTGAAAAAAGTTATTGAAAAGAAATTTGAGAGACAATTAATCGTCAACTTGATCATATTACGTTATTTATATTCAAAAATCTTAATATTTTAAATTAAAATGTAAATATTTAAACTGCAAAAGTAATCTTACGGAATAATTACTACTTTTATTTGCGCATGTTAAAAAAGTTTTACTTATAAATATTTATAAATTTTACTTATAAATTTTATTCTAAACTTTGTATGCGTGTGTATTGCGTAAAATATAGAGAGAAAATAAAATTCAGAATATATCAATATATTATTAAACCCGTTATTGTCGTATTTATTTTAAAAACGTAACTTTAAAAATATTCTTTTACATATTATTATTTGCATTTTACTATTATTTATATAAAATCAGCTATAATATTATCCAAAATATCATGCATATTATATAAATATCTTTGAAAATAAATCTGTTATTTTAAATGTTGCATAATTAAGTTTACAGAAATAAAATTCTATGGTTAAATAAAAAATAGGAAAAAACAATAGTCATACAATCAGAGTAATCTTAAAATTTCTATAGGTGCGGCGTCTAGTCGAGATACTATTCCATAATTAATACTTTGTAAATGCTTATGTAATTTTATGCGACAATTAAAATTAAGCCGAGAATTGTTGCTTGCGACCTGAAATCACGAACGTCGAAACAAGTTCAGTTTTAGTGGCGCCCCAGTATGTGTATATTAGGATCAAAAATTATACCAACAATGGTTTACGTCTAGGAATTTATGTGAATATATATGCGACTCAAAATTAATATTGCTCAATTATTACTGGAATCTGCATAACTACGATGGTATTTAACTTTACTATCAAATATCAAGGATTGCGAAGGTCATTGTCGATATTCTGACGTCATTCAAAGACGTAAAAATTCCATCAATCTCATAAAAATGTTAAGTATTATCATTTGAAAATTCAAAGTATAATTTAAAATTTTGCATTTATCAACATTTAACATTCATTATTTAATCTTCGTGATATAATGCTTTCTTCGCTCATTTGATGTTATTACATAAAAATTAAAAGCTTAATTGATTACTGAATTAGTCTATAAAGAAAGATTTTATTTCTCATTGTTTTTAATTTTACTTTAATGTTTTGTTTACAAACCGCTTGCGTTCTATTTTACGAAGCAGCTTCACAGTTCATTACTTCGTAATCTTTTTTTCTTATGCAATACTGTTTTACTTCTTAATTTGCAAATAAGCATTAAAAATGTAAATTGAAGAAAAACACGGAAATGTAATCAACATTACTTCATAAAGTAACAAGGAAAATATATCCGAAAAATGAAAAGGTATTATTTTTTTCTACAATGACCACATACAAATTTGATGTTAAATTTTGCCTGTATATTATCGTTGTGGTATAACACAAACTCCGTTATCAGAACTGTGAAACAAACTTTTCATTAAAGAGATTGTAGTGTAAAATGTTGCAGAGTTAAACTCGCGAAACTAACGCGAAAGTTGTGCATGATATTCGACCGCTTTGATATTAGGCTTTGTCGTAAAGTGGTAACGGTCAACGTGTTATCAGACAAGAGTCGACCGCTAATTGATCATCAAATATTAAATACATTCATAACCAATATCAAATGATCGTCTAGAAAAGGACAATTTTTACTAATAATATCATATATTCTCGCGTAAATATTAAGGAAATTAGAAATAGTTAAAAGTAAATCTATTTAATTATTAAATAGAAAATGTGCAGCAATTAATAATTTTATTAGTATATACTAAAATTTTTGTTTTATTTATTTTTTTTAATCTTCTTTATTTAATAATGTAAGCAAAATTTAATCAAAGCCAACCGTTTGCATTAAACTGATACTATATTGTTTTTGTAAACAGACAAAGATCGAATTTTCTATTGTGCTTAGGCAAAAAATTGCAATTAAGGGATTGAAATCGACAGATTGCAGTCGCAAATTGAAAAAAATCAACTTTTGGATTAAAGATTATCCCCGCTTGAACACAATAATTTGTGATTTCCAAATACAAGCTATAATCTGATGGCTAGACAAGTATAATCCGACTATGGATTATTTATCATAGAGAATATTAAAGTATTTGTATTATAGTGTTTCACTGATGTTTTCATCAGAAACCCTACTAATTGCATCTTGCTATCGATACTAAAATTGAAATCTAAGAAATATAATAAAGTTTCTATTATCCATACTCGGAATGTAATTGCTGTCTATCGAACTTTCGATTTCGCATGACCAGCTGCAATCTATCATTCAACTCGACCTAGCGAGTCAAATTTTCGCAAGCCCGTAAATATGGATACCCCTGCATTGAAAAATGCGGAATAAGCTTCAATTTTTTCTACGAAAGCTTCGTGTTGCTTCCCATCGTAACCTTCTGAAAACTATTTCAACATATAAAATCGCGAACGTAAATCGCACCATCCTCTCGATTTATACTCCCGATAGGACGAGGGCCCCTTACCAGCTGGGCTATAAAATTTGAATAAAGCTATTCGTAAATTGGGCGCAGCCTTCTCCCCCACCTGACTTAACACATTCAGCCGGGAGCAAGAGCAAGGGTGTAAGAAGCATTCTTGGAGGGCGTAAGAAGAAAAATAGCCGAAGGGAATAGTTATGTATATCGTTCTCAAAGAGAGGAAAGGCGTTATTCGCGAGCTTGAGTGCTCCGAAGCGAGAGTCGCGCAAGGAGAGAAAAAAGATTTCCGAAATTTCGCGGACGCACGCTTAACGAGGAAAACGAACTTTTAGGGTGGAACACGCACTGCGTAGAAACTACCCCTCTACTTCGGGACCGATGCCGTGTCTGGTTCCACGAACGAGAACTGGGTCACCGGCCACGTACACTCGTACTCTCGAGGCTAGGAGTCTCGTGTGCGCGCACGCGCGCGTACACGTGTAAGTGGCCGCGAATCTACGTGTATACACGTTTCGTCACCAGTTTTCACCCTGTGCCACATCCGGGACGCGCGACGCCAATCTTCCGTGTATCCGGGAAAGGGCATCGCGGCGCATGGTACGAACGAAAACGAGGACTTGGAGTATATACGACGATTTTTATGCCGTGATATATGTCGATGCGAGTCGGACAGAGAATCGAACTTCAAGACTGAATTAAATTTAAACGACAGTTTGATGCCAAGCCGAATTTTCGGTAATGGCATCTCGTGACTGGTACGAATCTGCACGGAACAATTTTAATCTGTATCCCACTCACGCCTCTCCCTCCCTCACGTCGACGCTCTTATCGAATTTTCTTTGAAATCGGTTTCCTACTTTCTTCGACGTACAACCTATTTAACGGAGTCGTATTTGATTTTCTGGAAACCCGATTACGAATAAAATTTAATAGAGGAATGTAAGAAGAAGAATTTGATCAAGTCCGATATTTGCTGCGCAAGCAAATTTTCAAACGAGATTTTTCTTAATCAATCATTTTTCTTATAAATGTTAAAACCAGCAATTGTCAAATTAAAATAAAATATATTATATTTATATAAAATATAAAAGTGATTTTGACATGTAACAGAAATCTCACTTCAAAGTTTTTTCATGTCTGATAAATATTATTCAAACGACATGAATTTACTTGATATCGTCTATTTGATATTGTTATTAGTTCTTCCAATAAAGACAAATATGTATACAAACAAGTAATATCAACGTATTCGTTATTCGATATTTAAAGTTCCTTATATTTTAGAATTTATAAACGATCTATTTTCTCGCTTAAGATTTTTCTCTCTTTTTATGCAAATAAATAAAACTAGTTGTATTGCAATAACAATTGCAAGTCACCGTCAAATACTTTGCAATAATTAGATGAATAATCAATTAAATTGTTTTAGAATCAATACAAAATTAACACATGAAATATAATATATTTAATAAAATATCAAGAATAATAAATAAAATTCATAGATGTATAATCACACACAATTAATTTGTTTTAGAATCAATACAAAATTAACACATAAAATATAATATATTTAATAAAATATCAAGAATAATAAATAAAATTCATATATGCCTTTGCAATGTCACGTATTGTTTCTTATACAAAATAAGAAGACAAAAAAGTGACGAAAAGTGACTTGGCATTGAAATATTTAATACGTATAATAAAATAATTAGAATTACAAAAATAAATGTAGAAGATAAATAGAAATTCTTGGAAACAATCGATATATTATTCGTCCTAATTAAATTCTTATTTTTCTATCGCGTAAATATTTATCAATTCAATTCAACGTATTAATTCAATATAGCAGGAATCTTTAATAAGAATAATTCATAAATGAGGAATGTGATGAGATACGCGAGAGACAGATTACATTATATATGCGAATTAATTTAACTTCCAAATTTCTCCTAAAATACTGCAAATATTACAAGGCAGGAGCCTCTAAGATATATATATTATTGTACGTCAGTATTCCTATCACGTTTCATACATCACTTTAATGATCGCGCATATATATATATATATATATGTATATTTGCGCGCAAAAGACGCGAGAGAGAAAACAGAGCGCAAAATAATGAAGAATAATAAACTCACCAAGATACGTCCAGTGGTGGTCTGTCCGGAAATTAGCTCGCCGGCCCAGTCCTTGGCCTCGGTCATAAAAGTCCCCTCGAACTCCTTGCCCTGGCGGGCCGTCTTCTGCTCCTTCTGCTTCGGGTCATTTGGGGATAGTTCCGGCTCCTTGCGACAGCAGAGGAAGGCAAACGCACGCCAGAGGAGCACGATCAGCAGCCCGGCGAGGAAGGTGAAGATGCTCGACAGCAGGAAGCACCACCATTTCCGCTCCTTGAGGCAGTCTTCTACCGGGGGCTGCTCGGTCGTCCCTTCGGTCGTCATCCCGGCGGATCTCTGCTGCCCCCGGGTCACACATTCACCGGCGGCTATCACAATCAGCGGCAGCTGCGACGGCCAGTAGGGCGCACTTTATGCGCTTCATAATTTCGCGCCGCCTCCGGGGATGCGCGACGCGCCACAAGGAACCCCAAAAAACGGCCCGCTTCCGCGTCCGCGCGGCGCCGCCAGCCACGAGCTTTTGTCAGCGCGCGTTCACTGGAGAGAATCACCCAGATCTCTTTTTTTTCTATCTCCTTTTCTCCTTTTCTATGGTCACGCACACTCGCTGGCGCCCCAAAATTGCTTTCCTTGCGCGCTCCTTCTCGCTCTACTTTCACCCTCTCAATCTCTCTCTCTCTCTCTCTCGCTTTCTTTCTTGCACACATTCACCCCTCTCGCACTCTCCTTTCTCTCTCTTTTCTAGCGCACACGCACACTCTCTCTCTCTTTCTGGCTCTCTTACCCTCGTTTCTTCGGTCCTCTTATATACGTCTGTGTCTACTTGCTCCGAAAATGCTCCTTCCCTCGCTCGTAAACGCCTTTCTATCCAGAGACCACTCGATCACTGTCGTCCTGACGACGCACTGTCCGACCGAGGATTTGCTATTTCTACACGAATCCAATGTACGAATGATGTATCGATGTTTTCGTCGATACGTACAAGCACCACCGATCCAAATTCGGTGTCTTCGTCCTTGGCGAACGCGCTTCGCTTCTTGTCCTCGTAAGCCAGGCGTAAGAACAGCGGATCCGTCCTGGTTTCGTCCTGCGTCCAGGTCGACGAGAACGCGAATTTGTGCTCGCACTATAGATTCGGCGGCAGCTGCTGCCGCCGCCGTTGACGTCTCGTCAAATTATCGGTTTCAGTTTCCGAGAGAGAGAATCTGGAGCAACAGAAAACAACAAGAAAAACAATCCACACTGACACCACTACCGCGTGTTACACTACGCGCGCTTTAAACATACATATAAGTACGCGACAGATATATACTTCCGTTTTCTCCGCGCTTTTATATATTCTCTCGTATATATATGTATTTTATTTATATATATATATTTTTTTATTTTTCTATTTATAATATATATAAGTATATGCGTGTGTACGGTGTGAACGTAGTAAACGCGGTTCGCGATCGCGTACGCGACGAATAAAACGCGAGCTCTCGAACGCGCGACGACGACGACTATTTTCTCTCTCCGACCGCGCGCCCGCTCCTCTTAACCTAATCGGCTGAGCACCACCGACGGCGACGACGACGACGACGACGACGACGAGGACGACCGAGTGTCCCGACGACCATACCACTGCTCCGCAGCAATCAATACGCAACAATGGACCGGGACCAATAAGCTCGGAGCTTTTCCTGACGTAGACGCACGCTCCCTCGCTTCGGTCTACCCTCACCACTTCGCACGCGGTCAAATTAGTTCGGGCGCGAAACGCGAGGCGGCGCTGCGCTCGCGCTCGAGGGCTCGCGGCTGCGCAAAGTCGGGCTTAACTACTTCGGAATCATGCAGGGGTTGTTGCGTCAAGTAGCGCGACAAGATTTACAGGGAGACCAGAGCGCGCGCGCGCGCATTACTAGATGACTAGATTTCGTGTTATCTCGATCTCTTGAAAAATTTTTAATAAATTCCGTACCTGAGATTTTTCTTCTCTATTATTCTCCCGCCAGAACAAAAACTTATCGTGTATAGAAAAAGAGATGATTTTCTTCTTGCAAAAATGAAAATTAAGATGCGGGTCTCTGCGATATGACGTCTGCAAAAATAGAATTATATTATTGTTCGAAAATGAAGATTATTTCCAAGTAATTTATCTATCTATGTGCATTATACGTTTTATATGATTGTTAACAAAATATAATGTTTAATTTACATGTAAGAATATATAAAAGACACTAGAATATTATTCACAATTATATCGCTTATTTTGTACTTAATATTTTGCATTTTCTATAATATATATCTACTTGTGATAGTATAATTATTTTGATATTAAAAATAGATGCGACATTAACCCAAAATCCATAACCCTTTCTTCTTGAGTTGCCATTTTAAATTTATGCATATTTTCAATTTTATCTTTTCACAGTATAGTATTCAATGATATCAAAATGTATATACACAGTATAGAAACTTAACTTTGTATTTTAAATTATTTGTCTTCGTAATATGTTGCGAAAAAAATTGTTTTATACACACAAAATTGCAGAACTTGCTTTATACACGTACGTTTCTTGAATATTTGGTTAACTTTGGAACAACGATAAAATTTGTGTCAGTAGCGACATCTATTGCAAGTTATCAAGAATGACTTAATAAAGATGAGAGTGTCGATATAACAGTTATCACAAATTGAAATAAAATTAAAACTTACATATTAAATTATTTTCAAGTTATCCTTTAAAAACCAAATAAACAACATTACTTTTCTATGAAATAATTCTATATGTGTCAATAATAAATAATTAATATATAAAATTTTTTAATATTATTTTCTTGGAAGATTATTTTTGTATGTGATATAAACATTTATAAAAATATAACAGAAGACTTTTTGTCTAAATATGAAATTATTATACTGACATATTTTTATTAATTTTTTAACAAGTTTTACGACTATATAACTTGAACTTAGTCAACAATTTTCTACTATAAGATTGTTTATGTTTATTACCATTTAAAACTTTTGATGGCATATGTTTGAAAATATATTGTCGTAAAATTGTGCATCCATATCTTGTAATGTAAAAACATTTATTTATAATCTAATTGTGACACATGACACTTGTTTATCATCAGTAGAAAGCGCAGTATATTCACAAAAATGGCACTGCTGTATACGAGGTTTGTTGTGAAATTTGTGATTTTATTAAAAAGTTATTAGTTTATTAATTATCTGATTGAAATAAAAATGAGTTTCTGTTCTTTTAGGCTTCTTTGCCGGCGTAATGTCGATTTTCGACATTTTCGGAGTCTGTACACATGCAGGTAAGATATCTTATATAATACATAACCTTATGCCTTTACATAATTGTCAAATATTAGATTGAGAGATTTTGATAATTCTTATGCTACATCAAAAATGTTCTCATTTTATCTCTCTCATCGACAAAAATTATAATTATGAGCTGTGTATATTAATTATATAGCGTTGTTTATATACATGCATAGCTTTAACCATTTTGACATTAAAAAAGTTGTTTCATAAATTGCAATTAAAAATATTATGTTTCAGTCCTCTTACTGCTGCAGTTTCAAAGCCTTCACATGCATCAAGCACTTGTGAATCTCATGATGAGAAGAATATGCGTCTAAAAAGACCATTGTCGCCACACTTGACTATCTATGAATATCAATTAACAGCAGTGCTCTCAATAACACACAGAACTACTGGGATTATGCTAGCCAGTTACGCAATGTTCCTTGGTTTAGGTAAAGTACATGATGATACTTAACTTAGCAACGTATAAACATTAAAATTACAAATGAAAACTACTCCAAAATAGATTTGTCAATTCTCTTAGCTTTTCTTAGAACAATAATATATATAATTCATATATATAATTCAAACAATGTTTAAATTGACTATTATAACTTATATTACAGGCACATTATTTATACCTGGTGGTATTCCTTGCTTTATAGAAACAGTGGATAATTTATGTTTATCTTTACCTGTACTGTTTGCTGGCAAAACCTTACTTGCTTTACCTGCTACTTACCATACATTTAATGGAATACGTCATTTGGTAGGAAATTATTATATATTTTGGAAAAAATTAATAAGATGGATACTTTACATATATTGATATATATAGCTAAATCATAAGTTATCATTGCTGAAATGACACTGATGCTACAATTTCACAAATGTTGTATAGTTTTTTAATTATATACTAATTAGATCATGTATATTTTTATAAATTTACAGGCCTGGGATTTCGGATTATTCCTAACAATTAAAGAAGTGTATAGCACTGGATATATAGTATCTGCATTAGCTGTTATTTCTGCACTTGCACTTGCAGCAATGTAAGTGTTTATTATATGAAAAAAAATTTTTCTTCAAAATTAACTGTATTGTCAGATTACATGAAATCTGTATTGTATTATTGAGTTATATAATATTACAGAATAAAATAAATTATTGTGAAACTATCATGTATTTTATATATACAAAAAAATAATTTATTTTTAAATTCATATTTTATGCCAATTTAGAATTGAATAAACATTATAGTTATATTTAAAAAATGTTTAATTTGAAAATAAAATGATATAATCTTATTTTCAAATTTTGAGACAAACAGAAATGATTCTAAAGAATTACTAATTTTGAGACAAACAGAAATGATTCTAAAGAAAAGGAAAAAAACATTTTTTTGAATGATTACATTTTCTAGTGTGATTATAAAATTCAGAAATATAGATCATTCAATTCTTTGTATTTAAAATATAGAAGTTATTACAAATTAATATTATTTTTATCTTATACTGAAAACATTTATAATATCCAAATGCTTAGAGCAAACAAATATTTTTTTTTAAATTATTGTTTAATTCAAGATATAAACTATATTAAAGAAATAAAATATAAATTTCACATAAAGCCTTCCAAAGAAGATTCAATATATCTTTTGTAAATTGTCATATATCGTGCAGCAAAAGCTTCTAAATGAAATATGGGTTTTGACCCACGTATCATTCTATACTGATATTCAGATGCAATACCAATAATTTCTCTTTTCAACTGATCATCACAATTTTTTATACATTCTTGTAGTAATCCTCTGAATATCAGATCGCACGGTATCGCACGTGTTAAAAGATCATAAAATCTATTGCGTACCTCTAAAAGTACTTTAGGAGATTGTTCAGAAACCATCATATTAGCTGTATTTCGTATATATACTTGATAATCTGGTTCTGTTATTTTTTGATCAACAGTAAATGGATATCTGAAAAGAAAACAATTTTCAAATGAAGAAGTTAATAAAAATATATTGATAATTTAAAACTCGGTAGAAACTTTAATGTATCTCTGTATATGTTATCATGTATTATGTACTTACTGTTCGACTTTGCAAGCTTCAAGCATTAATATTGCCCGTCTAAGATTTCTGTTACTAGCTTCAATTACTCGATTGGCAAATTCATCAGGCAAATTAAGTCCTTCACGTTTACAAATCGAATGTAAAATATTTTTGATTTCGGAAGTAGTTGGAGCAGGAACTCTGATTCTCACACATCGTGATCGAATTGCAGGTAAAACACGTGATGTTGAGTTTGCACAAAGAATCAATCTGCATGTATTGATATACTTTTCCATTGTTCTACGAAGTGCGTGCTGTGCATCTCTTGTAAGCTGATCCACATTTGATAATAATACCACTATAATAATATATAATTATAATTTTCATATACAGTTTTTATATTTACTACATAAATTGTAACATTTGTGACAAACAAATATCAGAATAGAAAAATATTTTAATTTTTTTTATACCTTTGAATTCCTTTTGACTTATATCTATGTGATGTGTTTGTGCAGTTGCTTTTATTAATTCCATGACAACAATTCTGTCATGAATTCCTGCATCACTTGGATTTACTTCCGTATGATAATTACTACTAATAGTCAATATTTCTAACTTCTTTTTAGATGCTGTCTACAAGAATATGTATGATATTATTAATTTATATTCTTTTATATTATTTTAAAATATAATTCATAATACTACAAATATATTGTAACTGCAAAAGTACTAGCAATAAAAGTCTAAATTTTAAAATCTAGTTAGCATTAAAATAAAAAAATTAAATACCTCAAATTGCATGTTTTCTATTTTTAATCTCTCAGCTGCGCTCCCATAAAGTTCTCTCAAAATACATAATATTCGAGTTTTCTTTCCCGCACCAGGAGGACCATGAACCAATAAATGTGGAAAGTCTCGTTTTTGCACCTATATTTTAAAAAGATATAATAATTTACGCATTGCTTATAAACTACATCCAATTTTATATAATTATATAACACAAATTTTATGATTTATGTTGTGATTATAATCATCTTATAATATTTTTTTTTTTTAAAAGACTGTAAATACCAGATTTTACATTAAAAATAAATCTTTAAAAAGATAGTTTTTCTATCATTCTTTTCTCTATATTTATTATTATAAAAATTATCAAAATGTGTGAATCTAAAAGCTAATTTAATTTTATATATATATATACTTATTTTAACTCAATATTTTAATGATTTATTAGGTTCTCAAAGAATTATATTGAAAATTATCACATATTTTTAAAAAATATGTATTGCATTTTCGTGAAAAGCGCGCTTTTAAAGCTATAGTTAACCTCATTCTCGAGATGATGTACCAAAGGTATATCATATCTCAATATTATAATTACCATATTTTTTAAATCCTCAGCTTGTTCGAGATGATAATCCAGCTTTGCAAGTGTTGTTGGACGATACTTATCAACCCATAAGCTCATTTTGTAGTAGCCTAAGTAGACTTATGTATTAAAACCAATGTCGAAATCTTACTCCAAAACTATATTGTACATACACAAACAACGAAATTATTAAATTATAGTTATAAATATTATATGTACGATGGCGCGAATAATAGTATTTAATCTATTTGACAAATATTGGTTTCTCGTATTCTATTAATGCATAAATAAAGAACTAAAATTCGTAATATTATTTGACTTTTTCTCTGCTTTCTGTTAGTGCTATGTACTAGATTTTGACATAACCAAATAAACTTCAAATAACGCGGGAAAACTGGAAATGGCGGGAACGTTAAAGCTGTACATTCTTTTTAAATTAAATTTAATATTATATATAACGTGACTGACTTCTTTTTCAATATTATTTACTTTTTTTAAACATCTATCAAATATATACTTAACTAAAATATACTTAAATATAAATATTACATAAATCATTCATATGTTTAAGATATTATAATTATATTAATATATATAATATTGATATATTTTTACAAACTACAAGATGCATATTTTATCTCTCATGATATATAATAAATGTGTCTCTAATAAAAATATCATCAATATTGTATATACATATTTTAGATTTATATATAATATAGATCATATATAATTTGTAACATACATATATCATTAATATTACAGCAAAATCGCACGCACACACACACAAAACTACAAAATTACTGAATTTTGTATCTAAATTCATTTTTAAAATTAATTACAATTCATATTTTGTTTCATGTGCCAATATCACAAAACTTTTAATTTTGTTTTAAAATTTTTTAAATAAACATATTTTGTCATTTAAAACAATTTTTCCGAGTTATAATATAAAAATAAAATTAAAAAAAATAGAATTCTGAGATTTTCTATTTTTGGAAATTCGCTGTTTTGCTATAACATATAAAGTATTAAAAATATTATGGAACAATTTACTATTGAACATGTATTGATGCATTGATGTGTAGTTGAACTAATGTAGTACAATAATACAAAACCATAATTAAATCTATTATGGCAAAATATTTCTTAATATTATAAAGATTTTAAAATAGTTGTTTGTATTTAATAAATAATATCATCTTGTAATGTAGCTCATAATTTTAATATTTGAAATTAATTTGCAATATATATATAAATTAGAGTTATTGTCTAAACATCTTAAATATTTTCTTGATCATGAATAGATAAAATTTGTCAACAAATGCATATATTTAAAATAAAAGTTCTTTTCTCTAATAATTTATCAAGCAAATATATATGATGGCATATAGAATATATTGTGTTCTCAAAAATATATGAATAGTTTATATAACTATTTGATTAACAATTTCACAAATATTTTGTGAATAAATGAGATAATACATATACATTATGGTACAAAATGAGAACTTATTAATGACACATATAATAAAATATGTCATAATACTAATTAATTTTACTGTAATCAATGCATAAAAATATAAAGATATTTACTTTAAGTACTTACTGAAACATTATTAATATAGAAAGATTTTGATATATATTCTTTGATATATTTCTCACATAAAGATAACATTATCAGGTATACTATGTTTTTTTATTTATACCCACACACCATGTGGATTTTTGCTTGTGGGCACTGCGGTTTCCAATTGTCTTGGTGATCCTATCATCTTACGAGTACTTCCAGGCTTACCTAATAATTAAGTGTATTTATTAGACGTTTTTATGTACATGAAATTTAGTATAATGTATGCAAAATACATTTATATATATAGATAAATACCTTCCAATAAAGGTTTAACTTGTTCATCTGAACATGCAACAGCTAAACTTTGTAAATTTGCCTCTTTCATATCAGCTACCAATCTTTCTACTTGTAATTTCTTCTCAACAATAGCTGACTCTAAATTAACTACTTCTAATTTTAAAGAATCAGCATGTTGTGAGGCTAATTCTGTTGCACGTTTAGCTTGTTCTACCTCATTTTGTAAGTGTTCAACTTCGCTAATTATTTTCCGTTCCATAATTTGCCGCTCATCTGTTTCACGGTTTATATTGTGTTGCTCCATTGCAAGTTCTTCCATAACTAGCCTGTAATTGTATGGTTCTCATATATTTTGTATTTCATCTAAATGTCTTATACAATATTTAAAAAATAGTATTTGCAATAGTATTAGAATAGATTAATATAACATACAAGTAAGAATTTTTGTAATTCTATCAAATACGTATTTACCTTATCTTATTTTTACATTGAAGCAATTCTGTTTCACAATTGGCAAGCTTTGATCTAAGTAATGTTATTTCCGACTTCAGCGTTTTTTCTTGCTGTCTAACTATTTCACTCTCTTCTTCTACATGAGTTAATTCTTTAAGCTAAAACAAGTTAAAACAAACAATTCAATAAATCATAATAATAATGTCAAAATGTACGTTGCATAAAAATTATTATACTTGTTCTTCGATAATACGACCAGTGGATTCAATACGATTCATTTCTTGAGAAATATAATCCATTTGATGCATTTGTTCTCTGTTCTTCCCTTCCCAATATAATATTTCTGCATCAAACTAAAATAAGTGAATAATTTATTGTCTATTTTTGTAAATAAATTATATCAATCATAAAAGTAAACTATTGTTTTGAAAAATAATTTATGTTAATTATAAAATGCTAAAATATCTTACTTTTGTAAGATCAGCTTGTTGAGCATTAATAGTATCTCGCTGCTTATTGACTAGTCTTAAGAGTTCAACATATCGTTGAGTATAAGCAACAGTTGCTATATTTTGTGCTGTTGCAGGGAGTGGATTAATGGATTGTGTGGATACTTTTGTATCTTGAAATTCCTACAAAAATTATATGTTAGAAATGTATGACCTTATAAGCAATCTTATAAATTATTATATCAAATATCATCATAGTAAAAATCAAACCTGAATGAGATTTCTTTTCAATTTTATGGAATTACTAGAAGATGGTTGATCGTCTTTGTGCACATGAGGGCTTCCACTATTGGTACTATGCACAAATTGTGATCTTCCAGGACTGTTTAAATTCGGCGGCGGTGGATCGCGATAAGGTGGTAAAGTTCGTAATGGTGGTGAAGCTGGATCTGGAGGTTCTCTGTAAGGTGGAACCTCACGCACTTTTTTTTGCGATAAATGCGTTGCGACTAAAAAAAGAATAACATCATACAATCATAAATTATAACATGAATATTATAATTCTTATAGAAAAGATTTTTAAGATAAATATACAAGTATATATATATGTATATTTATTCGATCTAATCAACAAACTACAATAGAATATTTACTTTCAGTATTAGTCCCTCGTGTAGGTGATTGTGCAGGTTTTTGTATACTTTTTCGAATGTTCAAATCCTTGCTTTTTAAATGTGGTGTAGGTTGAACTACAGCCACATTATTTTCCATTTGAATCTAAAACAATGTTTTTATTTAAACGTGTAGATAAAAATTAATTAAATAGAAAACATACTATGAAAACAAAAACATGAACAATTTTATGAAAACCATTTATTCAAAGTAATTGAATCGAGATAATTATTATGTTATATTGCTATTATAAAACGTATGTTAAAACTATTTTACAATAAATTTTATTTATGTTTTATATATTTATTTGCACACTTGTATGTGTGATTTATACATGCTTATTTTTTTATTTAAAAGTATTCATTGATATACATATATTTACCTCTGTGCTGCTTTCAGTAATACCTCCATGAAAGCCACTAAATGTAAGTGACTTTCTGGTATCACGATTCCTTTCCAATCCTCCTTGCATATCATCAAAATCTGAACTTTGTGTGGTTGATATATTTTTGGTATCATCTTGCACGCTGGTGGTACCTGTTCCATGTTCAGGTAACGAAATTGGTAATCCATTTGCACGTGTTGCATATGTTAATCGAGATGGCAATGCACTTGTTTTGTTATTTTCTGATGTGGAGCGTCTCAGAATCAGTTGAACTTCTGACGAATATTCACCCCATTTCATCAAAATCTATACAAATAAATGACATATGTCAATGTTGTTATTTTATTTACACATATAATTATATTAATTTAATCATTATAGTTAATTAAAATTCTATTTAATTGATTAAATTATGAGATAACAATTCATGATATATATGTGATGTATGAAACATGTCTGACCTTAAGAGGATTTTCATAAGGGGCCAACAAACGTTCATTAGTTCGCCAACGCTCCACTAAAGTAAATCTACCTGTTTGAGCTGTAGCATGAGCAAGCGCATACACCACATCCTATAATTAAAGTGTTGTCAGTAGCAGTTTTTAGAAATAAGCACAAATGATTTTCAAAAATAGAATAAAGCAAATGATCTTTAAATAATAATAATATATGTCGTGAAAAATATACATGTGGCTGTAATATTTCAAGTTATTTTATGACAACACACAGCTGATATAAAGCATGTATGTAAACCAATACCCTGATATGATTCATAATACATACTTGACAAGTAGTGCTCTCAGTAACACCGCATACAATACGTTGTATTCCTTCCACCCACACTTTTAGCTCCATCACGTTAACAAGAGGAAATTCGAAGTTTGATTTTTTGCATCGCAAAGTCAGCGCTCGTGGAAAAATATAAAACCGTCTTTTATCTCTGCACATACATTGTTACTCTAACCTCACGTATTTGGATAAAATTTAATGTCGAACGAAGGCAATTTCAGTTTATTTCAATATATGAGTGTCGAGTCACCATCGAAGGTAAAATGACTGCGACAAAGTCAACATCCGCTTTTCGCTAACAGGTTTAAATTTCTCTCTGGCTTGTAATATGTAATTATTGAAATGACAGATGCGCTACTATGGCGACACAACATACGGGCGACGGTTTTTGCATTAAGCGTGTATTGCATGTGTACGACAGTAGTCGGACACAATGCAAACGCAACATAATTTTTTCTTTTTTTTCATATATTTTATTTATAAAATATTTTTTAAATTAGCTATTTTATTCCTTTACTTCTTTTAATTATAAAAATTGATTATATGAATTTAAATTATAAATTGTATTATATGTTTAAATTATATTATATGAAAATATAAAACACTGTTTAATCGTTTTAATTAAAATAAAAACATTTAATATTTTAAATAAAAATTATATAAGAACCTTTCTAGCGAGAAAACAAATAGACTTCTTTATATATTTCTTGCTAAAAAGCTCATATAGTTGTAGTATGGCTACTATTATTAATTCAGCAATGTAAGATTCTTTTGATTATTACATATAGAAATATAAAAAATATATTATAGAAAAACTGTCACATTAAAAATCTAATAAAAAAATTTAAATCCTCTTAACAATTCCAATATATTTTGTCATTTGACAGACCAACTGTGGAGAAATTTTCTGCTATATTATAGGTCAAAACAAATTATTGCAAGGTTTTTAATATAAAAACAATATCAAATTATTTTCCATTACAGAAAAGTTTTATTTTTATGCAGAAAAAAGATGTTACTTCTTGGCTTTCTTGTCTTTAGCAACTTTTGTTACTTCATCAGGATTTTCCGAAGCATCCTTAACACGCTTTGCACGAATGCCAACTAATCGTGCATCTGCTCTTGCCTTACGGAGGGTTACATATGCTGAGAATTTATTTTCCTCCTCAGTAATAGGACGAGCCTTTGCCTTAGCAGGTGCTTGATGACGTATTGGCATAGGATCTCCCTTGATTTGGACTGCCAGCTTTCTCTCCTCTTCAGTTGCATCACCCTTCTTAGGCTATAATTAAAAAAAAAAAAGAAAAGAAAAATAGAATTTGTACATGTAAAAACAATTTTTTATAGAATTATATAAAAAATATCTCACAAATTATGTCAATTATACATTTCTAAAGATTAAAATATAATTACTATTAAAATATATTTTATTCTATTAATATTAATAACACAAAAAACTACACACCTTCTTCTCATTTACCGGGAAGAGAATCAATTTAGACTTGTACTCCTTTAAACGTTGAGCATTTGTTTGTAAAGACTCAATAGATTTATTGCGACGACGAGGGTCAACCGCAATGCCAATGGTCTTGGCAAATCTCCTGTTCAGACCACTAGCTTTTAATTCAGCTAGTGTAAATCCTTTACCAGCACGAACTTTAGTGTGGTAACGGAATGTCGGGCAATGCACAACAGGTCTCAATAAGTTTACAGGTCTGAAAAACAATATTGAATTACAAAAAGTTGTAACTGTTAAATATATACATATATACAATTCTTATATATATATATATACACATGTGTATAAAAGTTTTAAATATATATTTGTATTGTACAAAGCAGAATCTTATTAATCAAGAAATAATTTAATTATAAATTTAGTAAAAATATTATATATACCTGGGTGCGAGAGCTCGTGCTTTCTTAACACGTTTTTGCTTACGACGGATTTTTCTCGCCGGCTGGTTAAACCAAGTCCTTACATATCGTTGCCAATCCTTGTGGAAATGGCCATTCGGAATCATATTATTTCCCTTACCCATGGTGGATGTTTAGTATCTGTAATATATGTACAACAAAAATTAATATTTAATTCCATACATAATTTGTATTAAATTATTTTTAGTTGATCTATCTTATCTACTTTGACATGTACAATTTCGTTAAAAAATAAGAGGTTAGTATCTGCAATAACAGTTTGCAATAATTGACACGTATATGTAAACAATTAATATTTATTGAAACTTTGATATTGACAGCTCTGCTGCGTTTGCACGATGACAAAGAATGAGAATGGAAAGATATATTCCAAAATAAAAAATAAAAGTTAACAAGTCGATCCAGATTCTAACCTCTTTCTCACGTAAACTAAACTGAAAAATATTATCTTCTTGTATAAATTACATATATATATAAGGCAACAATAATTAGAAGCATAAGAAGTTATGTATCTTTAACGTTTCATATTTTATGTAAAATGTAGGATGTTAATACTTAATACAGATTTAAACCTCCGCGACACGATTCACTCACCGACTCATCAACGCGAAAACGGAAAAGGAACGTGAACGTGAGAAAAACCGGAAGTGACGTTTTAGAAGCTAAAATTTCTCTCACATGAAAAAGATACTTTTTGAAGCATTTTTCTGCAAAAATCATTATATTATTAGTAATATTCGGACACATATTTAACGCTAAAAACCGACCAAATAAATGTAATTTATAATATATTATTTAAATTTATAAACAGTAGTTTATCTAGAGTCGTATAAGAAAATGGCAGCGTACATGGTATAATAATATGTACAATCTTGAATGTGATATAATAAGGGAAACGTTCCGTGTCACTCTGTTCTTACGGGAAAAATCATATTCTATAATGGTGCAAAATATGTCGCGCTCCTTTAAAATACTGTCTCGATATAAGATACGAAGATTTTGCAGTAGTAGTCTTCACCGGCAAACATCACCTGCGATTAATATATCATCGGTATAAACCTTTTTATTTACAAATATAAACATATAGACATATATCATTGTGATTTTGTGCGGTGTTTAAATATTAAATATATAAATACGCTTTTATAATAATTATGTCACAATTTTGGCTTCATTTCTAATATTCGCGAATATAATACAAACTTCGAATTACTCATAACCACACATATTCTACACACAACACATATTTAAATATTTAAATATTATATATAATATATAATAGAAATAAATTTATTATTTGTAAAATGTAACTTATTTTGAATATTGTATTATTTATTTAATCTATTGATTTTTAGTATGCGGAATGCACACTTTCTGTGAAGCAAAAGATGGAAAGTTATTGGAGAGATAAAGTTAATTCTTACAAATATAATAATGACATAAAAGATAAATTTTATGTGCTTTCTATGTTTCCATATCCATCTGGAGCTTTGCATATGGGTCATGTTAGAGTTTATACAATAAGTGATGTCTTAGCTCGATTTTACAGACTCAAAGGTATGTGAAAAAAATTTCTTACAAGAAATAATATTTTGTAAGATTTATATCATTATTATATTAAAGAACATTTATATTAAAGAAAAGCAAATTTTAAGAATATATTTTATACGACATAACTTTTTCAAATTACAAGTATAAACTAAACTAATTAACTTAATAAATTTTGTATTTAAATTTTGTATTAGGTAAAAATGTGATTCATCCTATGGGTTGGGATGCTTTTGGATTACCAGCGGAAAATGCTGCTATTGAAAGAAAAATTGATCCTGCTGTATGGACAAATGAAAATATAAAGACAATGCGTAACCAATTGAACAAGCTGAATTATTCTTTTGATTGGGAGAGAGAATTTGCAACTTGTGATGTAGATTATTATAAATGGACACAGGAATTGTTTCTAAAATTGTTTGATAAAGGTTTGGCCTATCAAAAGAAAGCCTATGTTAATTGGGATCCTGTTGATCAAACTGTACTAGCTGAAGAACAGGTAGACTTGAATCAACGATCTTGGAGATCTGGTGCAATAGTAGAAAAAAATTATTAAATCAATGGTTTATTAGAACAACAGCTTTTGCAAAGTAAGTATTAAAGTATTATACATATATGTAGTATTTTATAAAGTCAATTAGATTTTACTTGACTATGTTACAGATCATTGATGGAAGGTTTAAATGATCCAAGCTTGAAGGAATGGAGAGATATTATAAAGTTGCAAAAGCACTGGATAGGTGATTGTAATGGTATTAATATTGATTTTAAATTGATATCCAAAATTCCAGACTTTCCAGAGACAATAAACTTATGGACTGACTTGCCAGAATTTATAGAGTATGCAAAGTTTGTTGCTATATCTCCTCAAAGTATATTAAATCGTGAAGAACACACATATGATTTAGAAAACGGTATAAAAGGTTTAGATGCAAAAATAATAAATCCATTTTCTGGTGAAGAGTTGCCGATTTTTATCACTGATAAAGTGGTTTATCCACCATGGAGAGATACCCGTTTGGGTATACCTTCGGCGTCAATGGAAGATTTAAAATTTTCCGAGTTAGTTGGAATAGCATTTACGCGACATTCGATACGTAGCTATGAACAGCAACAGCAAAAGATATCAGAAATATTCCAGAAAGCTAGAGAACTGGGAATAGGCGGATATCCAGTAAGTTCGAGATTACAAGATTGGTTAATCTCTAGACAAAGGTATTGGGGTACACCTATACCTATTATTCATTGTACAAATTGTGGTGCTCAACCAGTACCTCGCGATCAACTTCCTGTGACATTACCAAAGATAATACACTCATCGTCTAATAAAGGATTTTCCATCCACGATGCAAAAGATTGGTTGCAGACAGAATGTCCCAAGTGTAGAGGAAAGGCGACTAGGGAAGCCGATACTATGGACACGTTTGTAGACAGCAGCTGGTATTATTTAAGATTTATAGATCCCAAAAATACAAAGGAGATGTTTTCGATAGAAAAAGCTAAAGATACTTTTCCTGTGGATCTTTACATAGGTGGAAAAGAACATGGTATAATAGCATTAGTTGTCTTAATTGTTAATTTTGAATAAATTTATATTTCAACTTAACATCTAAATTTTATATATTTCAGGTGTGCTCCACTTATACTATGCGAGATTTGTGAGTCACTTCTTGCATTCAGAAGGTCTTATACCATGTCGAGAACCATTTAGACAGCTTCTTGTGCAAGGAGTAATAATGGGTAAAACATATAAAACTAAAAATACAGGTAAATATGTGCCAGAGGATGATGTAATAAAAGAAGGAGAACAATATAAAACAAAATCTGGAGAACTTGTCTCTATGAATTGGGAAAAATGTCGAAATCAAAACACAATGGGGTCGAACCTCTTAACTTATTGTACAAATATGGAATAGATACAACTAGATTATTAATATTGGCTGATGTTGCACCAACATCCACTAGGAATTGGTCGGAAAATAGTGAGTATCTTAAAAATTAACTGTTTATAATGGTAATTTTGACATAACATATATGGCAATTAATATATTAGAAGATAATACTTATATTCTCTATAATATTGCAGCTATTCCTGGTATAAAAAATTGGCAAAATCGTATTTGGAGCACTGTTAAACAATTTAAAAGTGAACGTGACAATATGTCACTGGAAGAACTCAAAAATGAACCTACTGATCCTAAATATATTGAACACAATGCATATATGTTTGATAGTCGAAATTATTTTCTCAAAAATACAACATATATCATAGCAAAATCACAGCAACTTAGTATAGCAATATCTAGAATGCAAGGTCTTACAAATAGGTAAATAATTAAATAATATTCAATATATTCAATTCTAATATTTTAATGTACACTCAATAAATTTTAATTTATAATTACAGTTTGCGAAAGGTTTGTTTGGAATGTTTAAGAAAAAGTCGCGAATATGAACGAGCATTAGCAGTTCAAATTATAATGCTTGCCCCATTTGCTCCACATTTTGCTTCCGAGTTATGGGCTACTTTTTGTTCTGTGAAACATCATCTTATAGATAATAACGAAGTAAGCTTGGACAAAGATGTATTCGAACAAAAATGGCCAGAAATTGATATGGATTATAAACTTGCACTGAATATCTATGTAAGTATGTACACACACACACACACACAGTATTAAAATATAAATATATGTAAAATGAGAATGTTTATAAAACTTTGCACATGGAATGTTGTTTGTGATAAATTTTTGTTTAATATTTTTAATTTGTAATTTGATATATTTACACAATAACATATTTTTAGGTAAACAAAAGACAATTTTTAAAATTGAAAATTCCTCGACATACATTGGACGAAATGACAGCAGAGATGGCACTGGAATATGTGATTCTTGATCCACATTATCAAAACAATTCAGATGATAAAAATATTGTAGAAATCAAGCTTCAATCAGAGAAAGGCTGCGATGCAACATTGTATATAACCATGGAAAAACAGAAAGAAAATATTAGGAATATTATTACAGACGAAAGATAAGTATTATAATACTTTTTTAAATATAATATTAAATATTGATACAAATTGTATTATAAGAGTTAAAACTATTTATTATATAAAACTTGTTTCAATTAATTTTAATATTCATGACAACTTGTTGCCTACCTAATGTCATATTCTCCTTCATATCCATTATGTGGTATAGTTTTTAAAAATTGTATGTAATCGGCAGGAAGATTATTTTCTTGAGCCCCTTTTAATATCATATTTCTATAAGGGAGACAAAAATTTTGATAAATCTTAAGATATTAATTTTTTTAATTATAAATATAGAATATAATAAATATAGAATTATAGATACAGATATAATGGTGAAGGTCTCCTATCTATTGAAAGATCTGCTGGCTTTACGTATTCTTTTGGATTATCACATTGTTGGTATACTCTACAGTTTAGAATTGTACCATTGGGAGTTTCAACATTTACTGACATTGCACGATATATATTATCCTGAACACCTTCTTGACAATCTAATGTTGATAAGTTGCAATTATCTAATTCCCAGACTACACCCCATACAACTGAATTTTCTGTTTCTACAATTGTTGCCGATGTTCCACACCATCGTTTGGAATATCTATGAAAATCCAGCCTAAAATTCTAATAAAAATATATATATATATATATATATATATATATTTTTATATATAATAAATATAATAAAACAAATATTTTGAAAATAAGATGATATTCAAGCTCAATTAAAAATGAGAAGTTTTAAAAATTTTTAATCTTTTATACAATTTACACATTACAAATATTTTTACATAATTCTGAAAAGAATCTTATATTTTTATTTAAATGTTTTTTTAGAGATTTCTGTTTAGCTTTTGAAATAAAATTTAATTTATTTTTAATAATTATCTTTATCTTTAGTATCTTGTATTATATATAAGATATATAAGATTCCTTCAAAAATATATTTATATTTTATAATTAAATTATTAAAATATATATATATATATATAATGTTAAAGAAATATTAATAAGTAAACAACTAGTATACAAAATGTAAATATAACCTGCATCAAAGAATGATCAGTACTTTTTTATGAAAAATCATCCAGTGATTTTTGATCATGGTCATCCATCATTACAATATACATTTAGAAATATAAAACAAAAAGCTATATATATATATATATTATATATATATATATTATTATTACCTTAATATAACCAATATTTTTCATTACTGCGGTTGGATTATTTAAGTGTATCCTTTTAGCAAGTAAATTACTTCCATAAGCAAAATATAAAAATGTGCAAGACATTTTACTGAAATTTATTCAAAATTTATAAATTTTTACAAAGTGGTTTTAACACTTTCACACATTCAATGTAGTAATTATACTGCTTTATTATTCAAAATGAATCGTGGCAAATATATTGCACTATATATATATATGTGTGTACATACAAATATGTATCTACAAATGATAAGATATCTTGTGTGCATAAAGCGATTACTAAAAATATAACTTTGCGCGAAGAAACGTATTCCAAGCAAGTATATTTTTTAATTTTTTCTCGCGCATTGGTTCATTATAAGCGAATATTTTCTAAATTCTATTACGATGATCCGTCGTGTCGCAATTTTAGAGATTGATTTGACGCGCGCTTTGATAGCTGATTGCATATGGCGGCGAATGGTCGAAGAGGTGGATGTCTGTTTTCGTAAAGGTTTCCGTTCTTTCGTCCAGTTTCATCGTTTTCTGCTGACCACACGTATTCTTGACGAATTCGAAGAAACGGTATGTGACAGTGTGGATCGTAGAAATTTTGCTAATTCGGAAAATAATAGGATAACAGCGATCTCTTTTTATAACCTTGTAAATTGTGGAGAAAAGCAATGCGAGCAGGTATATGCACTCGCTGCTTCATGTGTCACTTTGGTAGTTTATTGCTTTGTTTTTTTTTCCCGAGCGTCTACTTATATTCCGATATTTGATAATGCATTCCCCGTTATCTGGTAAATATTCTTCAAATTTCTCCCATCTCTTTACTCTTGTTTCTCCAGAATAAAGGAACGATGTTGTGGCGCGAAAAATTGCAAGATTACTCGGATAAACATTTATGTTCCGACTTCAATTATTTTTTAATTTATTATTTTGAGAATCACACGCGAAAATACAATGCTTATAAATTAAAATTCTTTCAGAATTTAAAAATTTGTATGTCCTAATATTAGTAAATTTTAATAAATATATGATGATTTATTTGATCGGATATGTAGAATTGATAGCTTATGCTAAAATATGTGCAATTATAATATATAAAATTTAGCAATATATTCATTAAATTAGCATTTACTGGAAGGATAAGATTATCTTATTATATTTTTACATAAATAAATATGTGTATATAAAACATGTGAATATCATCACACAACTGTGATTGATAGGTCATTATATATTTATTGTATTTGTGTGGGGTGTACACAGTATATTTTTATATAATTATTCAATAAAATATAATATTATTTGATCTATAACATTAAATCTCTATATATTTTATGTTACAGATATGCCACCGACAAAAAGGTTGATTTAGAAAAGTTAGCATGGGCATGGGTGGAAGTTGTTAGTCCAGAACAAATTGATAAAGTACATTTAGAAACTGCATATAGGATTGGATTAAAGAATTGTAAAAATTGCAAGTAAGTTAAGAATGATTTTTATGCTAAAAAAGATGTATTAATTGCATCATAATACTATGATTGTCATAAATATGTATCCTAATTAGAGCACATTATGTTGTTTCAGACGTAACTGTGCCAATAATCCTCAATGTGTAACAGGTTTAGGAGAAGAAAAGTATATGAAATCACAACCAGCTGAGATAGTCTCTTTAGAAAGTTCTTTATCCGAGCTACGTGATCCAACCCAATATGTTGGTTTAAAAAATCTTGGTGCTACTTGCTATGTCAATAGTTTAATCCAAATGTGGTTTCACAATGAAGATATGAGGTGTGTAATATACATTATAATATATATTTATAATATAATATATATAATATATATAATATTAATATATATTATATAAAACTAAATCTTTGTATATGTGTAATATATTATTTTAATAAATTAAATGGTAATTTTTATACAGGAGAATAATATACAAATGGGATATTACGGAAGATCCAGAGGAGAAGGAGACATTGCAACAGAGTGAGAAGACAGGACTACCCTATCATCCAGCAACTGCAGTCGGCCAATTGCAATATATATTTGCAATGATGCAATTCGGAAATCGGAGTCTTCTTGATCCAATGAATCTCGCTGTCGCGTTATCCCTGGATACCAGAACACAACAGGATGCTCAGGAATTCTCCAAGCTGCTACTGTGCCATATTGAAGGAAAGCTACAGCAAAATTCAGAACTGAGGCAGATGCTGCAGAGGCTGACCCAAGGAAAATACAGCTATATCAATTGGTGGGTTTTCTGAAGTGGAAAACAAATGAGAATTGTCCTAAACGATGATGATGCCGATGAATCTTGACGATGAAAACATGGTAGGACACGTTGTTCGCTACGGTGACTGGCGCGACCAACTGATTTGGCAGAGAGAAATGACTTCTTAGTAGATAATTAGAATTTTATGTTTGATGCAGTTGTTCGACGTGCGGCACTGAGTATCCAACGTCCACCACATTCTACGAATTGGATTTACAACTGGCGGCAACTTTGAAGGAGGCGGTAGACAAGTATTTATCAGAAGAACAGCTGACGGGTGCGAATCAGTATCATTGCGTCACTTGCAATGACAAAAAGGATGCCAGGCGGTTCATACGTTTGGAGTCTCTTCCAGAAACTTTGAACATCCAACTAATGCGTTTTGTCTTTCATAGGTAAGTTTTAGACGTTACGACGCGAATGGCAATCTTTATTTGCTAGATCTAATAGCTCAATTTTCTATAACAGAGATTCTGGACAAAAAAGGAAGTTAAATTCATACATTCAGTTTCCTGAAGATCTCGATATGTCGGAATATGTTAGGTGCCAACCTCAAACTCATTTATATAGTCTTGTCGCGGTATTAAGTCACAAAGGTCCATCTGCTCATTCTGGACATTACATTGCGAATATATGTAATTCAAGTGGGGAGTGGTATCAGTTTAGTGACGATAAAGTAGAAAAAATGCAAAATAAACGGATTGAGGATGGCGTAAATGGTAATTAAATATGCATTTAATAAAATAAAAAATTAATTAATTCTCATGTCATGAGACAGAAGTCAGATTTTTTTTTCCTTTTTTTATAGATAATGTGAAACCAATGAAACGTGGACGCGTTCCAAAAGGATTTCTTTCATCCAATACAGCTTATATGTTGGTTTATAAAAAGTCAACTACAGACTGTCAAATAAATATGACGAAAAAAATGAAGGTGAAGAAACCTGATGCCGAAGCAAATGTCTCGGATGAATCTGTTTATTTAGAGAGACTTACAGTTAAAGATAAATCAGACATTTTAGATGAAACAAAACAAAAAAATAACATCGAAAATGAACTATTATTTCAAGAAGAAAACTCTGAAAACATATTAAATGTAAAGTCAGAGGATAAAATAAAAATGGATAAGACTGTGGTATTTCAAAAGACTGATATACTTACTATGGATAAAGTTGAAACTGTAGAAACTATTGTTAATGCAAATGGAAGTGAAGATCAATTTAATTCTGCCTCGCCACAAATTCAGAAAAAGATTGAATTGTTAAAACAGCCAGTAATAAAAGTTGTTAAACTTGATTACAAACGACTGAATGGTGCTGCACACAGAGCTATGAGTTGTGGAGAACGAGATCTTTACGAAGAAGTAACTTTCTTAAAAATAATTTTTTTACATATGTGCTTTGGTATATTGTAATATTTTGGATTAAATAAATACATTTTTATGTCTACAGATGGAATTTGAAAGTTGGCGAGTAAGTAACACAATGCGTGAACTTGTCAGGCAAGAAAATGTTAAACATGAATTGAGTTTGTTAGCAGCGCAACAAGAAAAGGTAAAGAAATATAACATAGAAATAAATTTCAGGTTTGATAAGTTTTTTTTATGCTTATTACATTATTTCTTCTTTTTTCAGCAAAAAGAAATTGAAGATCAAAATTCCAAACGGCAACTTGTGATAGATATATATAACATGATTCAATCAACAACATGTTGGGATGAATATTATTGGATACCAACTGACTGGTTATCAAAATGGTTGAGTGGACATTCCATTGCAGACAGTGTTCCCCCAATCGACAATTCCACTCTAATGTGTGTGCACTATCGACTCGATCCATTAAAAGTGAGTCGTGCGAAATGTGTACCGATAACAGTTGCCCAAATACTTTACGATAATTATCGAGGAGGACCACGATTAGATCAAACATCTTTATGCGAAATTTGCGTAAAAAGACGATGTAAATTATTGCGTTTCAAACTAGCACTTGAACGAGATTATAAAGAAGTTAATGAGCTAATTCGCACATTTAAAGAACCGTAAGTATATAATAATTCTTAACAGTTTATTAATATAAAAAAAGATAATAAACAATATTCGTTATAATCGTGATATTTGTGTTGTTTTAGTTCTGAAACAAGTTATATAATTGGTACTGAATCATTGCGATCATGGCGAAAATTAGCCATGGAAACGTTTCAAGAGGGTATGGAACAAGAGATGAATGATTGCCAAGATGTTCCACACGAAGAGAGTAAAAATGTGGATAAAGATGGCAATGATTGCCTGAAAGAAGTTGATGAAAATGAAGAAAATGAAATTATTATAAACTTCAATGAAGATCTATTCTGCGAACATAATTCTCTTAAAACAGCAGACTCCAGTAGAAAAGTGATACCTCAAGAAGCCTGGTCGATTCTTCGAAAATATTTTCCAGATTCGAAAGAATACTCTATTGGATCACAATCCTGTTTAATCTGTGAGGTTTGTAAAATTATGCTTTTGTTAAAAAAAGGAATTAAAGAATTTTTAAAAATATAAATATCAATTGTCGTTTGTCGATGTTTCAGGAGAGAATGGAAAACGCACAAAGAGCGAAGAAAGATGACAAGATAAAGGCAAAGCAGCAAAAAGACGAACTCACCGAATTATATTACGGAAAGAATAGAAATGAAATTTTGAAATGCAGCGATCCAACAAAATTATTCTACATTGTGGAGAAAGGTTTCTTGGATAGCTGGCGTTCTTTCATTCGGTAAGTACCTAAATTATTTTTATTATATTGATATAATAAGAATCTTGAAACGATTTATAATTGCTTTCTTTGGGCAGAGTTATACGATAGTCTTTTGCCCATAGTTGACTGAATCGCACGTATAAAAATTTATTGCTTTAAAAAAAATAAAATTGTATGTCCAAATGCAAATATAATGCCGG